CGTAACTCAGCTTGCTGATTCGGCAGAAACCTCACCTGACAACAGTAAAAAAATCTAAAAGGCAATAAACATTTATCTAGATCCACTCCATGAAGCAGCTTTCCACTTAGCTATACAATGGCTCACGCTGCCTCGAGGGAAGAGAGAGGTGTTGCCCTCTTTCCGTGAGCTCAGGCTGTAGTGGAGTACACGCTCCTGATGCACTACCATTGCTGGCATACCCTGATGTCTGCCTAGGGTGCCAGCACAAGAACCAACCCTTCTCTCAGCTGGATTTTTCCACTGGCATTGCAGCCTGTGAGACACACCCAAACTAATGTTGCAGAGTTAAATGACACACAGATAAGGAAAAATTGTATTTTAATTCCAATACAAAAAGCTAATTTAAAACATGTTTTCTGCATTTGCTTATTAAATTGCAGGCATTGCTGGGATCTGTGGGATAGCATTTTGCCTTCATAAGTCACAAGCAAGGTCTCTCTGACTAGGTGTAAGTGATGTATCTTGGAGCAAAACAAGGGCCTAATAACTAATCTGCTGTCTGAAATGAGACCTGCTGTTGTGCACTGACCTCTGCAGTGACAGCTCTTCGCTGATGCACAGACTGCAACAGAACAATTATGATCAGCGTGAATGAAACGTGAACAGCCATGTACATGTGAGACCAACATAAAATCAGTAAGGCAAGAGTTAAAAAAGTGACCTAGAACACAGCTGAGAGCAGTAAAACTGGTAAACACTGAGGGCTGTGCAGTGCAAACAGAGCAGAAGGCCTGTGCTCTGGGAACAGGAGGATGACAGCCAGGTCAGAGTACACTGTAAATGGCATCCCTGCCCCTGCTGTCTCAAGAGGGAGGCAGAATGTAGCCATGGAGATACCCAAAATAAGGAAACAAATTGTGGAACAACCGTCTAAGATAAATAGCAGATGAAGCAACTGACTACATTAATCTAACTCCTCATCAGCACAGACACGCCCAGGGAACGGTTTGCCATCGCTGGCCCAGAAAATGCAAAGAGACAGTGAGGGATGAATGGTACGTTCTCTGGCAGACAAGCCCTCCTGGCTGTGCCATTTTGGACAAAGGTCTTGGAGCTATCAAGTATGCAAGTGGGAGAAAATGATACAAAAATAGAATATCCTTGAGTTGGAAAGGGACCCATCAAGACCATCGAGTCTAACTCCTGTCCCTGCATAGGACACCTTCAAGCCTCCCATAGGAATGGGAGGACAGAACCTACTCACAGCAAGTTACAACCTAGAGCCAAGCAGGAAAACCTAGATTCCCACCCTGGCGATCAGCCAGCCCAGACGGGCGGTGGTTAGTTACGGGCATGTTCTGAGGGCGCCTCCCGCGGCCGCCCCGCGGGCTCTCGCGAGAGCTCGCGTTGCCGTTGGTGACGGCGCGGGCGGGACGGGGCGGGGCCGCTTTGAATCGCGGCGGGCCCGGGGCCGGGCGCGCCATGGCACCCGAGCGGCCCGGGGGGGAGCGGGGCGATGCTGCCAGCCCCAGCGCCGCCACAGCCGCCGGCTCGACGCGCGTTGAGGTCCCCCGGCCCCCCTCCATTGAGGAATTTACCATCGTGAAGCCCATCAGCCGCGGCGCCTTCGGGAAGGTGTACCTGGGCCGTAAGGCAGGCCGGCTCTATGCCGTGAAGGTGAGGCGAGACCGGGGTCCAGCGCTGCTGCCGAGCAGCCCTGTGCGGGAGAGGGGCGAACCGAGGGGACGGGGAGGGCTGGCCCCGGTATGAGCCCCGGGCCCTGCCCGGGGAGCGGCCGCTGCTCGGGCACAGCCGGTGCTCCGGGACGCGCTGTCCGCACGGCCGTGCCCCGCTCGCACCTCCCTGAAGCCTGGAGGGTTTGGTCAGGGGACCTCTGATAACGACAGCTGCTTTTATAAGTACTTTAAGTAAGGGAAAAAAACGGCAAAAACCTTGCCAAGCGCCCCGGCGCTGTTGGCCTCTCGCCTGTAAACAGTTGCTGTAGCTGAGCCCCCTCAGCTGCTGCGCCTGCCCGGGGGGTAAAGCACCGCCTCTGAGAGACTATACGAGAATAAATTATAAAAGGCGTTCTTGCTGAGTAAGTATTTTAAGAAAGCTCAACAAAAACCTGTTGTGTTTTCTATGTCGTTGCACAAAGAGTTAAAACCTAGCCTGGTTGTTAGTAAGAAGCTTACCGATTATTCGTGCAAACTTGACTTAGTGATTAAAAGGATTATAACAATCTACATAGTACACAAAGAATAGGAAACATAAAAACAGTCATACAAAATAGGCAATGCTGTGCAGAGCTGTACATCTCTATGCAGTTTTATTATGAGCATTTTGAGGTTAAATCATTTGTGTGCTCTGTTTTGTTTTTCAGGTGATGAAAAAAGCAGACATGATCAACAAAAATATGGTTCACCAGGTGCAGGCAGAGAGGGATGCACTGGCTCTCAGTAAAAGTCCTTTCATTGTGCACTTATACTACTCGCTTCAGTCAGCAAACAACATCTATTTAGTGAGTAAAAAATGGCTGTGGCATTTTATGGTAGTCTTGAAAATTGAGCATCAACTATAGTGATATCTCTAAACATTTCTATAATGGTATTCCTTAGTCACTTTAACATCTTTCTCACAATGGTTGAAGAAGTAAAATATTTCTCTTCCTCTGGTGTCTTTGGGCTCTTTCTGCTCATGGTCCCCTCTGTTACAGGAGAAACTTAGAAATTCTAACAACTGTTCTATCTTAGAAATATGTAGAAATCTTAGGGAAAACAAGAAATCATTCTGTTCTAGCAGAAGCCAAGTGACTGGAAGGTACTCCATGACTCACTTAAAGGAAATTTATTTTACTTATTGCTAGTGCTCAAATTTTGTTACAGTTGTTGGCCTACATGACAAGATGATAACTGAGTGGCAAAACTAAATGCTGATCCACACAGAGCACTGTGGAGCACAGCAGGACTTGTGCATGGGTTTATGTGCTGCTTCCATGTAAGGATTCAGATTGTCTGCAAAGGGTCTGGCACAATTTGTGTGGGTTGCTGTAAGCTCACACAGGGAACAGCTTGATGAAATTCTGAGACAAGGTTGCTATGCACTCCTACAATGCATTTTGAGTGTAAACAAAGGCTTCTTTTTCTGGAGTCTCTGAACTGCTGCATGAAGTAGAGGACTTCAGGGTGAAGGATTTGTGAAGGAGATGCTAAAATCATGTCTGGATATGTGTGTATTTATATTTTTATATATATATAAAGTGTGTGTGTGTTTTTATATGTTTATATATATATATATGTTTATATATGTGTGTGGAAGAATATTGTGTATTGGACTGTAAGTACAGATGAGATTTCCTGACCAAAACCCCATAAATGCCTTCTTGACATCAAAGAGTTTCAGACTTCTATTTTATTTTGACTGACTTCTATTTTATTGCTGACTTCTATTTTATTTTGAGTATGACATGGGCTATCATAATGTGTCTGCATAGTGGTCTACTGGGTGTATGTTTTTCCCACTCTTTTTCATGTGTCTTAATTGCACACTAACTCTCACTGCATTTTTGATAGTTTGTACTTATTTCACAAAGCTCAGGTCTTAATTTAATATTGTGTATAAATGATGGCAAGATAAAGTATTGAGATACTTTGATTTGCATAAAATAGGTGGTCTTTGGCTTCAGGCCTTGAGTTGCACAGGAATGCTTTGCATTTCATTTTCTATACTATGGAAATATAGAATATTAAACTAAATATAGATTAATATATGAATATAAATATAGGTTAAAATACATAATATTCAATATAGAAATATATAACATTTATAATATAGAAAATTTTCTGTAGTTAACTCTCAAAAACTGTAGTCAGCTTTTTAATTAGCTTCTAAAAGTAATCTAGGCAAATAAAATAAGCAAATAGTCTACAGAAAGAAAATGTCTAATGCCTGCTGTTACATGACACTTTAATTATTTTATCCAAGTGAAAAGTAATGTGTGGGAAATGAGGTTTGAACAAAGGTACTTCTCTCTGCTTCTGCTCCTTGAAATCATATTTTTCTAGGGGTGAAAGTTATTTTGTATTTTACTTCCAATTTTGACATGTGTTTTAAATTTAAAATGCTTGAATGACAGGTGATGGAGTACCTTATTGGTGGAGATGTCAAATCTCTTCTCCATATATATGGATATTTTGATGAAGAAATGGCTGTTAAGTATATTTCTGAAGCAGCATTGGCTCTTGACTATCTTCATAGGCATGGAATAATCCACAGGTGAATTTTTTTTTCTTACAAATAAGAATTTGGTAGTTTGGGTTTTTTATTTTTTCACTCTAACACATAACCATCACTGTTTCATTGTGGCAGCTTCCACAGGCACCTCATTTGCTGGAGCTCCTGGAAGCTGTTTTTGCACGTGTGCACTGCCGCAATGCTGTGAAACAATGGCTAAAATCAAATCTGTGCCTGTGTGCTGAGCACACAAACCCACAGAGCTTTGCCCTGCCAGCTCTTTGCCAGTCCAGTGCTGGATTAGCTGTGATGGTTCAGGAACCCTCTGGGTACTGCACTCCTGGGCCTGTGGGACAAAGGGACACTGGTGACCCTGATGCTCCCCCAGAGTGAGGGTTCTTTTGCATTCAGCAATGCTGCAGAGAGCACACATGAAAACTCCTGCTGGAGGTTTGCTTGTCACCTGTAGGAGATGCACATGAGTGAATGTTATGATGGTGCTACTTGTGAAGGACGCTTGTCAAGCCTGCTGAAGCACAAGATGTGCAACTCTTGACATGCATGCTGATTTTTACAAAGCCTGAGATGTTTGTGCCATATTTAATGCTAAATATATTTGATTCATTTGATATGTTCCTTAAACTGGAATCTTCTGCTGGCTAGGAGATGTTACTATTAAACAGCTCTAACCAATGTTTTGTAATGAGTGTTTCTGGCCAGTGATCTTTCTTCATGTTGCTCAGTGCTCTTTTTGCTGACTTCAGCTGTATTCATATTTTCAGGGATTTGAAGCCAGACAATATGCTCATTTCTAATCAGGGACATATAAAGTTGACAGACTTTGGGCTTTCCAGAGTTACTCTGAACAGAGGTAAGAGTTGTTTCTATCATTTTGGTTGTATTAAAATGTATTTGTGCATCACATTTCCATATTCTTGACTACTTCACATCCCTGTCAAGAGCACCTTTCAATTAAATAAGTGCAAATGTTGCAGTAATACCTGATTTCTAATAGGTAAGTATTGATTAGCTACATGCTCTTAGCATTCCACTTCAGAAGGTAAAATATTTATTCTTTGAGACAAGGATGTATGAAATATGATCTAGAGCCCTTTCTTTGGAGGGATATGGATTTCAAAGTTTTCTGAGGTCTGCTAGGAGATTTCAATGGGTGAATAAATAATTCTGGCTTGTTCCTGTTTCTCTAACTACTTCTGGCCTTCAGTTCATGTCTCTTGGTCCTGTATAAATTAATTTCCAATAAATTAACTGGGATATTCCAGACATTAGTTTGAGAGAGAAGAAGATCAGCTCAGTGCTTTGGCATGTGAATGTTCTCTTTTCAAGCAGAGAATTTAGCTGAATAGTCATGACTGTCTGGCACAGGCTGCAGATGCTAAGGTGAACAGCCAATTTCTGAGCTGGTACCTCCTTAGCCAGATCATCCAAACTTATGCTGCACAGCACCAGTTCACGTTTTTTCAGACAGCTGCTGGAGGGTACATCCTTTTTATATGGTTAAAGGAATGTTGAAATTCAGAGTTGTCTATGGAGTTTGATTCATGATTTTAAGAATATAAAGGAAAAGCCTAGATGTTCTTTATTTTTTATGATCTACTGCTTTAACTGATGTTCTAATGGAACAGGTTATTGTGTCTAGTTGAACATGATATGAAAGCTTTAAAGCTACTTACTGCTAGTGAGCAAAAAAAAAAAGGTATCCAAGGTTGAATTTTCACCTGTGAAAAATTCTCATGTAGCTTTTTTGAGATGCCTTTTGGAAAAGGAGTCAAATTTAGTATCCTATTCCACAAGCCATAAGCTGGAACTGCTGCCTAAAAACCAAAGCTGATATCAAATTAGAAAATGTAGTGCTTTTTGCATAGTGTGTTGGAGAAGAAATATGGCTTCTACAACTTCTGTATGTATAAATGTATGGATGTATAAGAAAAAACATCTTTTTTTGTTAAGTAAGAATGTACAGGTAAGTCTTCAGTTGGTCTTGGTGGCTTCATTTGTATGTATATTTTTTGAGTATGTGACTCAATTTTTTCTTTGGCTTCATGAAACTTAAATAAATGTCTGCAACTATTTGCCTTTGTTTAATATCAAAATGAAAACCTGATCTATTTGATTTTGGGTTTTCTTTTCTTCTGTAGAGATAAATATGATAGATATCCTTACTACCCCATCAATGGCAAAGCCAAAACAGGACTATTCACGTACTCCAGGACAATTGTTGTCTCTTATCAGTTCTCTGGGCTTTGTAAGTAATTTTCACTGTCTTTGTAAGTATTTCATTTTAGTTTATTTGCTATCTTAAATTCAACAGTTGGCATGATAAGGCTATTCTTGCATCTCTTCTGCCAGCTGGTAGAATGACTTGTGATATGTTTAGAGTAATTTGAAATTCTGATGTGATTATCTTGGATTTTTGAATTGCTGACTTTTTTATGAGTATGGCCAAGCTCCAATGCAAACATAAAGAAAGAGTGAAGTGACACTCTCAATCCTGGACTGAGAATTTGTTCAGACTCCATTAACTTTTAACTGTGCTTCTTTCTGCCTGTTAGTATACTCCTCCTGTAGGAATGAAAGTGCCAGGGCACAAATCGAGTCCAACATCTGGCAGTCCGCATGGAGCAGTTTCTCCTGTACCTATGGCCCAAAAGGAAAATACCCCTCTTTCAACTAAATTGTTCAAAACGCGTGAGTATACCAGGCCTTGTGCTGAGGAATACTCTGGCTGTAAGGTTGTGGTCTTTTAATTTTATGTGAGTAGTTTGGACCCACTTCATAAAAGGTGTGATTCTGTTGGTGTCTTGCTCTCCACCATTCCTTCAGTGCTGTACATATGACATGTTTTCACCTACTACTTATGTCATCTTCTAAAGTGGTTTTGTTTGATTGGGTTTTTTTAAATCATGACCCCTGAATTCAAAATCACCCTTTAATATTTTATGGAAATAGTGTCAGTTCTTGACATACTTTCAGAGGAAATTGTTAAGTATAGCAATCTATGTTTTCTTTTAAATTGTCTTCTCTTGCTGCTTTCTCATTTCTAACCTGAAATGAGAAAGAAGGCAGCTATGCTGCTAATGTTTGTACTGCTTTTACATTCTTGGCAAGTTCGTAATTCAAAAAATACGTAAATTGACTATGCAAGAAAGATGACAAGAGAAATTGTTGTCAACATAGCTTTCCTTAGCTTCCTTTGATGTGAAAGCTTAACATACTGTGAAGTCAGTCACTATATGTTGCCTGTTTGTATCAACATTTGAATTTCTTTTTCTCTTAAGATCTGGATAATTCTCAATTAACACCTGTGATGCCAGCGAGGAGTTTAACTCCTACTCTGCTTCAGTCAAGAAACAGGTTTGGTACCTCCAGTCAGTCTCACACACACCTGTCCAGTGTGGAATCAGAAAACTGGAGCAGCCCTAGGTGCGGGAAAGGTGTAGAGGTCAGGACTGTTTCATCCTCCCCCTCTAAATTAAAATTAGTTTGTACTTGTGTATGCAAATGTCTTCTATTTACTCTACTTGCCTCAGTTATTTCAAGTGTTGAGAAACTTTCCTACAGTAGAAGGAGCAGGCATTTTAATTTGTGTTGAGTAGGATTTTGGGTCAAAGCGATATAACCTTTTCTTTCAAACAAATATTAGTCCTTTGCAATATAACAGGGGAAGCAAATGCTATTGAGCCTGCAGCAAAGGAGTGAAAGAGAGGGCTTCACTGACCATCACTGGTTTAGCCCTATCCTGCACAAGGTGGGCACTGCTGGGAGCAGTGGCTTTTTGGAACCTGACCTTGTCCCTAAAGCTCATTTGCTCAGCATTGTGGGTGAAAGAATTTGTTTAAAAGACAGAACTTGGGAAAACAATAAAATCCACTTCAAACTTCTAGTAGGGTTTTGAATCAACTAACCTAACACCAATAATTATAGCTGATAATATTTTATCCTAAAATATTTTATCCTATTTTAATGTGTTCATGAAATTCTGCACAAACACAAGCCTAAAAGAAAATGCTGCTATGCTATGTAGTTCCTTGCCATGATTCCTGTTTAGAGCATACAGAACAACTTACATTTAAAACAATTTATTATTCTGTATTTATCTGTTTTTTTAAGCCTTGGTTTTAGTATTGTGTTATCAAAACATTAGGGACATCAGATTTTCCTTTTGTCATCTCTGAAGTGTAATATACCGCAGGGTACTATAATGGGGTTCTTTCCTTTGAACTTTCTTGGAAACTGAAAACTTCTGTAGCTTAACTGCTTAAAATAAAGTCACAAATACAATATCAATTGCTCTATTTTTTCATCCTTTGGCATTTAAAAATATGTAATTTTCTATTGTATTATAGTAAGCTTATTTTATATTCTTAACTTGATAATTTGACTTCTTTTGTGCCTTATTTGGTTTTGGTTTTTTTTTTATATTTTGAAGTATGGTTTTTCACTAGTAGTAGTTAGAATAAGTAGCACTTGCAAATCTGCATTTCATTATGGAGGCTGTAATAAAGTATTTCAAATTAAACATTTCTATAATGCTGTAATCATATTTTTCTTGATACTCAAGACTTAATATGCTTTTTTGCAGCAAAGTGAAGATGAACCTCGTTCTACAACATCCAAAACCAGTAACAGTGGGTCAGCTCTCCTTTCAAATGCTATGTTGCCAAATAGCAAAGAAGTTTTAGAGTCTGCCATTTCTCCCATTGCCAGCAATGAGTCTGGCAGCAGGCAGAAGCTGGGAAGTGAACGTTTGGATATAACAGATACTCCTGTGAGCACTCTGGATGTGAAAGTAGTAAGAAAGTGTATTTCTGAAAATAAGATTTGGAAAGAAAAAGTCTTTGTAAATAAAAGAGACATGACTTATGAAACAGTGGAGACTTCCAGATTACAACAGTCACTTTCAAGGCAAAATGAGCCTGTCAAAGAGGAAGTAATATTTGAAAAGCCAGGTGTAAAAAGAAGCTTTGAATCAGTTGACACTAGTCCTTGTCAGGAGCTTAACTATGTTAAAAAAAGCAATGCAGAATATAAACGTGGCTGTCAGATCTCAGAATTTCCTGCAAACAAAGGGACAGGTTTGACAACAGAAATTCAATCCTTAATGCTTTGTAATGATGGATGCCTATGTGACACCTGTGAAAGCAAGGAAGAAGTTAAGGGTTTTATTAGTAACCAGGAAACAGTAGAAAGATCGCTTACTCCAACTGTAGCTAAAAACCTTATGTGTGATCTGGATGCAGACTGCGGAAAGGATGATGAAAAGGAGTACATGAACTCAAGTTTTTTGGTCACTGATGAAAAACCTTTAGATGTCTTCAGTGCAGATTCTGACTTACTTCCTGAAGTGTCTGTTACAGAAAGCCATCTAGAAAAACAGCTTTTAGATTTGGACAGAAGTGTTAAAGACCTCTCCTTTGAGGAACCAAAACCTGAAGATGTGCTAATAACATCACCAGAGTCCCAAAATAATCTCCATCTCTCACAGGATGGAGAGGAGGCACATACAGTCCAGGACTGCAAGCCAGTACATCAGAAAAAGGATCATGATCAGAAACACATGGAAGAAACTTACCTTGACACAGTATCTTCTCCTTCCGAAAAGATGAAGGAAGCGCTGAGTCTCTTCAAAAAAAATGCTGTTGTTTTTCGGAGTTATAATAGTCCAATCAATCTATCCAATATATCTGAGCCATGCAGCTTGGCTTCCTTAGATATAATGGATCTTTCACCTGCCTGCAGTGGCTCTTACCCAACAGCTATCACTCCATTACAGAAAGGAAGATCATATCAGGTCTATCAGGTAGGTAAGGATGCAGATGGAAACTTTGTACATGTATTGGACATTAGGGACCTGAAATTATTTCAGTGGTAAATTTAGGGAAGACTCAAGTAGTTTGAGGCAGTCTGTTAAAATGACCTCTGTTGTCAGGGTTTCACTTGCTGCACTTGTGTGGCCAAAATTATAATATCTGTAAGAATTTAGCAGTAGCTTTATGTTCACTGGTTTGCCTTTGGCTCAACATGCATTGACTGTCCATCTCTGAGAAATCTTTGCTGTTACAGTGAACTGGTTTTAAAAAGCCTGTGCTATTTTTTCTTGCAGTGTTGTTATAGGTTTCCTAATGTAATGGGAAGTCTTTGTTGTGGGTGGGTTTTTTTTGTGGTTTTTTTATTATCCTGCACTCTTCCCAAGACAATGTGAATGCTGTTAATGCTGTTCAGCTGCTGGTAACTGCCATTGTACCTGCTACTTTTTTTTTTTTTATAATCCTTTTAAAAGTGATGGTGTAGTGTATTCTGTCAAGTGGCAGTTACAAGCCTATTACAAAGATTGATGTGAACAGTGATAGCTGCTGATGTGACAGTAGAGGAAGAGCTTAAGGAAAAGTTTCTCAAAAGGTAGGCATCTTTATGCTTCAAGACTGTTGAGATAATGCAATGGAAGCACATTTCACACATGCTTTTCAGAGAATGTTTTGTAACTTGCTCTTGGCTTGAACTTAAGTATCAATTATTACATCTGTGACATCCCTGGAGCTGGGAGTTTCTGAGCTGGTTTTGTTTGACATCTGAAGTCCTTGTGCCATCTTTTCAGACCCCTTACCGGGGCGATGCTGGCACACCGTACAGGACTCCAAAGAGTGTTCGAAGAGGAGCTGCCCCCGTAGAAGGTGAACGAATCCTGGGCACCCCAGACTACCTGGCACCTGAGCTGCTTTTGACACAGCCTCATGGTAAGGCAAAGCAGCATCTGTCAGTACTTGAAAGGTGGCACTTGACATTTCTAAATGTCTGTAGAACTGTAAACCCTTCAAGCAATAAGATTGGGAATTTTTCAAAAATAGCTACTGCTAAGCTTTTGCCATCATGGGTGGCTGTGTTTGCTTCAGCTGCTCCTTCCATTCCTTTACTGGTTTCTCATAACCAAAGATTTTAGTTGTTCACCAGCAGGCTCGCTGCCAATCAGTATTGGAAGCTGCTTTGGCAGCCTGAGACTTGTATGTGGCTTGGGAGTAACAACTTGGTTATCCTGAGTGCCCTTAAAGATTCTTTGGGATGGGAAAGGGGAAATTTTAGAGTGAAAGGCTTAAGTCTTCAATTATTTTTAGAATGTCTTCTGTTTATTGATATTAAAGTGTTATGTGATGCCAGACAATTGTGTGGAGTTGCCTTAAAATCAGTTATTGAGTTGAGTGGCCTCATGAAACTCTCCAGACATCTGACAGGATCTTCTGTATAAAGGTGCAGTAATAGCCATGCCAACCTCAAATTTTTGGAGGTTGGTTTTTTGGGTTTGTTTGTTTGTTTTCAAAATACTATACTAAAATAGCACAACTTTGAAGGGCATAAATTTCTTTGTCTCAGATTCTGAGGTCCACTGAGGTTAACAAAAAGTCTGAAATAGTTTTCCACTAAATTGCAAGAAGCATTAATAAAAATTAAATGCAATGCATCTATCTCTAATACAGTTGTTGATGTATAATCCCATTTTATTTCCCCCCCAAAAGTATACTACTATTTTGTAGAGCTGCAAATCTTGGGACAATTACATCACAGAGAGACCTTAATTGAGAGGTAGTTATTACTATCCTGTGGAGCAATAAAATTCTGCTAATATAAATTAACTAAAACTCTCTGAAGAGATTTAACAGTAAAAATTGAAAATGCTAAACATATGTAGCTGTTGTTTTGCACTTCCATTTAGGACTCCTGGATATCGGGCAGATGTTAAAACTGGATAATATTTTGGAAATGTAATCAGTGCTACTTAGACAATGTGAAACTTGTTCACAGGCTGATTTCTCTGTGGTTACTGGGTTTTCAGGACTTCAGTGAAAACTTGCAGAGTCTGGGGTTTGTGTCAGGAAATTACAAGTCTCCCATTACCTTCAGTGAAGCCAGGGTTTTTGGAACTCCAAGTTTTCCCTCACTAAATATTCCACATGTTGAGCTGATTAGTTTTAATCCTAAATTAATCATGTTACAAAACTATTTTATTTTTGTTTCTAACTTAGATTTAACATTGCCATCTTTCCTTATTGTGGAATACTACCTGAGGTGAAAAAAATCTTCATTCCTGTATGTTTGGAGAATCATACTTGATATTCAATGTTTGTATTTGTTATGGGGTTTTTTTGAGCAATAATTGTAATATTTTTACTTTATTGTCTTTTCATATGCAGGGACTCTGGTATCTGGTGAGTTTTCTGTATTCTGTGCAGAGCTGAAGTGTTCAGCATAACTGAACAGTCAAAGTATAACCAGATCACAGTTTCTGAGAACATTGTTTGGGTGAACAATGGTTCTGTATAGAAAGACACATCCAATATACCTCCACATGAAAATGTGTGATGCTCACAGAATCAGGAAACATCCTATCAGTGTGACTAAACTATCAGAAATCACACATGTAAACATGTACTTCAGAAGGAAAGTCAGCATTCTTAAATTGTTTAACATGAGGTAAACCCAGAGCCACTTTTTCTCATTGCTGCCTTTTACTTTATTGCAGTCAGTCTCATTTACTTTGCCTATGGGTGAAGAAGGTTCAGGTGCTCAAGACCTGGTGTTATTGCTTCTTGCTTTAAACCACAGAATCATAGAAAATCCCAAGTTGGAAGAGACCCACAAGGATCATTGAGTCCAACTCATGTCCCTGCCCAGGACAGCCCCAGAGTCACAGCATGTCCCTGCAAACACTTCTTGAGCCCTTGCCAGGCTTCGTGCTGTGGCCACTTCCCTGGGGAGCCTGTTCCAGTGCCCAGCCACCCTCTGGGTGGAAAAACTTTTCTTAATATCCCACCTTAACCTCCCCAGCACAGCTTCATGCTGTCCTTTGGTCCTGTATTGCAGGTTTGTGGTAGGAGTTAATCTAATTTTAGTTAGACTTTGTGTGGGAAAAATTGCTGCTGAAACCTGGTCATTACACTGTTCAGGTTGTGATCTTATTAGACTTTGACTGGAGCTGGGAGTATTTTACTGAACATCCAGGTACTCTTAACAACAGTGGATGTGAACTCCCTGCTTTGATGTGCTTAGCTTGGTGGGCACTCTTACTGCTGCTAGGACATGCTAAAAGTGTACTAAATTTCTGGTTAACACTCTGGTTTTCAGCATTTCTAAACTTCACAGCAGTCTTTGTGAAATGGCTCAAAACATTCATTTGCTTGGAGGTGTCTTAGGTTTTTTTGTATGCCAAAAAAGCCAAGAACAATTAGATTTGTTATCTTTCCAAGTTTTGGGGTTTTTTTTAACAGCAATTGTGGCATCTATTCTTTATATGGTGGAGTGGGCATGGCTTGAAGATGCAGGAAGCTTAGGATGCATGCAGTGGTGTTTTGGGATTGCTTTGCCTGCTGGTTTCAATGTACATTAATAGGAGAGATTGGCAAAAAGACAAAGCCCTGGAATGTGGAAAACCAGAACTATCTAATAACAAAGCAGAGATAGCTAGTAACTGCACATTGCCCCAGTCAGCTCAGTGTAATGGACAGTAATGCCAGCTTCATGTGTGCTGGCTCGTTTCTGCAAGCTGTCTTCGTGATGTTCATCATAATTTAGACAAACAAAAATGAAGTTCAATAGTCTGAAGTTTTGGAGACTTTTTAAAGAACTGAGAGAAGGGCACAGATGGCAACATGGAGCACTTATCTAGGCTCTAGTCATGAGGCATCTATTTCTTATAACAAAACAATCTCCTGGAGGAGTTATCTCCTGGATTCTCTGTGTTGAGTGTTGATAATTAGATTGTTACTAAGAGCCCCCTTGGTTTTATCAGTAAACCCCAGTATTATCCATAATGAATTAAGGAGCAGAGTGGCTATAAAAAACCTTTTAATATATTTTTAATCTGCATGTATATTAAACACAATTTGTCTCTTCATAATCTTCAAGAAATTTGCAGAATTTAAACATTCTTCAGCTTTTGCTAATGTCAAAGTCTTTGCAAGTATCGTTTTAGTAAGTGTAATTATGTGGATTTATTTTACCAGGTTCTGCTGTAGACTGGTGGGCCCTTGGAGTTTGTCTGTTTGAATTTCTAACTGGAATTCCACCTTTTAATGATGAAACACCAACACAGGTCTTCCAAAATATTTTGAAAAGAGGTAATCTGTTTCAGTAAGCAGGGCAAGTATGTATTTCCAATATTTGTCTTATAGTTTGAGTTACCAACTCAACTCTGTTTTTGTCTGTAGATATTCCCTGGCCTGAGGGTGAAGAAAAGCTGTCTGATAATGCCCAGAATGCAATAGATCTTCTTCTAACAATTGACACTACTAAGAGAGCTGGACTGAAGGGTTGGTATTAAAATTGTTCTTTGTAACTTATTGCAGATTTTTAAGTGGTGATCTCCTCCTCCTGAAACTTAGGCTGGTAAACTTCAGTGCCTCCCTAGGTTCCATGTATAGTACCACAGCACTTAACAAGTTGTGGTATTTTCTGTATTTCTTGTGGGGTTTTTCCTTTCTGAACAAGGTAATTCTGGGGCTGGATTGTTTTGTTGGTTTTAAATTTTTTTTAATTGAACTTCTGTTTTGCTTTACTGCTGTTCTGCTATGCATTTTTAGTGTTGGATATCTGATGTACCAAAGTTCTCTTTTATCTAATGGGTATTTGGAATTTTTAACCTAAATGACGTTGGGAACCTTGATTAAAAGATGATATTTTGGGAGAGAAGCCTCCTACAACAAACAGTTAATTCAGAGAGAGCAGTTTTTTCTTAGGAATATGCCTGTCTCCTGCTGAATGCATAGGGGAATACAAAGTTGGACAATATATGCTGTACAAAGTCTACTTTTTTCCCCCCTTGTAGAAGGGCTTAAACATTTTCTATTGTTAATAGTGACTATGTTTTGTTTTTTTTTTTAAAGTTGATAATGGAAAGAAATTTAGAGTGAGATATTTTGGAAATAGGGATAGAAATCTTATGAGAACTGTTCAGGAAATCACTAGAGAAGGAAATTACTATGGAAAGGCTTACACATAAAGAGACTAAATGCTAGAAGCTGAAATCAAGCCAAATTAAAATAGAGAAGGCACAAGATTATGAATGAAGATTATTATGTCAACAGAAAATTCTGTGGCTTTGATAGTTCCCAAAAAGCAATTTGAAGGTGTTTTAGTTAAACACCAGTTACTGTCTTTATTTCTGGATTTTAGAGTGAAATCTAAATTGCCTGTCAAGGACAGAATTTTAAAACAGATGACATAATGGTTTCTTCCTATCTGAGCTTCTTTGAAATTCATTCTTTGTCAAGATTTACAACTGTATCTGGCCTCTTTGTCCAATTTATAGTCCACTGAAGGGAAGTTGGATGAGTAGTTTTCAGGACAGCCATTAAGTTTTTCTTGTCGTACCTAAGTTTCCATCACTGTCATCTTCTCTCCCCTCTCCCAAATTTGTGCTCTCCCTTTTTTCACTATAGCATGAAGCCTTTAGTACTGGGAAATCCCAGTTATGTTGTGCTGTGCTTCTCTAAATTCAATCTTTCTGGGTAAGAGCAGCTTTCAAGCTGCTTTTGGCTCAGTGGAACTCTATGGAACAGATTTCCTGGATGGGGGTGGCATCTGCACTTGTCCAGCCAACAGTTTGATCTTACTGAAACTGGGGGTAATCAAAGCTTCTAGAGAAGGAATATAGAGCAAATCTACTGACAGTTACAGATGAGGGAACACAGTGACTGTGGGGCTTGGACATAAGGAAGTTTCTCATGCTGATGTGAACTTCTGTTTCAGAACTGAAGCATCACCCCCTCTTTCACGGGGTGGACTGGGATAATCTCCAGAACCAGACGATGCCATTTATACCTCAGCCCGATGATGAGACTGACACCTCTTACTTTGATGCTAGAAACAATGCTCAGCACCTGACTGTGTCTGGATTTAGCTTATAGCATCGAGAGAAGTGGACATTCTCCATGGTTTTGCACACTTACAGGTTGTCTTGTAACCCTAGTTTGGTGTTGACTAAGTTTCCTTGCTGAATTTAGTGTGTTTCAAGTTACCAGCCTATTTTTATTCTTTAGTGAAACTACTGTATGAAACTGGTATCAAGTGCCTTTGTGCTACTTGTTATCTCCTGCACCTTACTGAGAGGCCAGAGCATTGTGTTTCTTGGACCTAATAACTCTTGGCAATAATGGGGCTTTTTAATAGTAATTAATTATTCCAGTTAGGAAGTGTGGTGTTATTTCCCAGCTAAACATAATAGGGAAAGGATATAAAGGAATTGCAATTGTATTTAATTAATAACTTAGCTATTGGTTGTTCAGTGTGGTGGCAAGCTGGTTTGGGAGCAGTCCTGTCTGAGCAGTGTGAATATATATCCACTGGGCTATATAAAACTGATCATTTCTATTCAAGGTGGAAAACTGAAATCTCAATGCAGCATTGCAATGTCTTGTCTTCTGTTTGTCCTATTCCTAAGAAGGGCTGGGAAGGTACAGCAGTTAATTCCAAGTTAATTTGGCTAGAAGTGGCATGTGAGACTGGCAGGAGACTATCCTGTCCTAGAGAAATGGGGCAGGGAGAGGATACTTGGGGCAAGTCTGTTAAACAAGTGCTTTGCTTAAGTTGTTGTGTTGTAACCCCTTGGGCTGTAGGAAGCTGGACTGAACACACATTTTAGCAGTTACTGGTTTTATATAGAAAATGCCCAGTGTGTGTGTGTGTGCTCCTTTGTGTCAGATGACAAGTGACAGGTGATTTTTTTGTTTTCTAGCAAGCAGTATTCATATTGAAGCTGCCTGGTATTAAAGACTATAATATATTGTAGGCTAACAGACTGTTTTGTAAACTCACAGTCAGAGCTTGGATTTTGACTAGAATATAAAATAGAAGTGTATGTTCTATATAAACCTAAATTAGTGGGAAGTATATCTAAATTTATCTTTAAATGCAATACAAATCTTGTGTCTGCTAGGTTTTAGAGGTTTATTTGTAGATAATTCTGTTTAAATAGTCTTCAGTATTTTTCTTGCATATGTATCTCTAACTTAAAGAAGATTTTAATTTTTCAGGTTAGTACATGTTAGATAAAGATCATTTGTGCTAGATGGTGTTTCCAGCCAGGGGCCATGTGCCAGAAGCCAAGCATTTTGCCAGTGATTTTTGCCAAGTGCCTTTTGGTTTCATGAACTGACTCTTTTTGTAGCAGTAGTGAGTTGTCCCTTCATTACCCTGCTTCCTGGAAGACAAGATTTATTGATGGAATTCTGAGCAAACAGAGTCTGCCAGGCTTTCTGCTGTCCCCTCAGGTTGCTGGGAAAGGAATGGGAATGGTGAAGAAAAAGGAAGTTTCCTAGAAAGACCTAAAGAGAGCTGATTTTTAATAGCTCAGAATGACCAATCCAGTTGTTGTGAAAATTCAATTTTGTGAAAAGAGTCTTGGCAAGTTGCAAAACATACAATGAATTTCACTCCCTTTGCTAAGGACTGGAGTTTCAGAGAACTTCTAAATTGTTCAGTCACACTGCAATTGTTACATGATGGAAAAGGTGCAAACAAATGAATGCACTACTGAAGAGTATTCATAGACAACATTCTCTGAAAGTGATGAGACGTTCTTTAGTGATTTTCCTGTGTACTGTTAGAATATATAAACTGGGATAGGAGGGTACCTTAATCACTGGTACTTTATGCAATTTATTCTTCCATTTCTAGTAATCTAGTTTAAGAAAGCAAATCTTAAAAGAATGAACTATGATTACATGTCAAAGAAAGAAAAAACTGAACACCACAAGAGTGTGTGTCTTTGTCTTCAGTGCTTTACAAATGCTTACACCTGTTCCCATTTGGCAGTATAACACTTTCCCATCAAGGTGGAAGAAACTTGTTGCACTGGTATTATCTTCTTTAACCCTTTGAAATAGTTCTTAATCATCTACAAAGGTCAAGTAAGCTTCTATAAAAATCTTATCCTAAAGGAAAATTGTGGTATTCCTACCAGTTGATTAATGCAAAAACATAGAATTAATACAAAACCAGTTGATTAATACAAAACCATAGAATTTGTAGAACAGTAAATTGGCCAATTGACAAATCTGAATGTTTAATATAAAGTTATCACTGCAGTGCTGTCCAAAATTTAAATTTCACACAATTAGCCCTGAAAATACTGCAATATCCTGTTCTCTTAATTATCTTGCATTTATCCAGGTTATAGCAAACATGGAGTTAAATGTCAGATGTTGATTGTTGAGATTTGTGATGTTGTGGGGCGTTTTGATTGGTGGGCTTTTATCTTTTGTAAAAAGGTGAATCCTAGCTTTATTGTTCGACATGGAATTCCTTGTCAACTCAGGTAAAAGTTGAAAAGGTATAATGTAGTAGCTGGAAGAGATGTAGTGTTTCTTATTAGTAAAGATCTACAAATAACAGTGTAGGCTGGCAAAAGTTTCTGATCCTTTGAAGCTGTAGAGTACCACTTGGCAAGTCCTGCAGCTGTTACATGGTGCTCCCTGAAGGCCTAAACTTCATGTTCACAACCTACACATAAACTCTGCAGCTTCCAGGTTATCTTGGGAGACAGTTTATCAGCCATTACATCTGAAAACTACTGGAGAGATCAGTGTTGTACTTGGTTACACAGAAGCAGCAGTTTTGGATGGTTGTTCCCAGCCCTTATGTGCTGTTGGGCACACCTACACATAGGGAAGTGTCTGGGGAGCAAGGTGCTGAAGTGCTGCCATGTGTTGTTGAGCTCAGAGATTCCAGTTTCAGCATGACTGGGTTTACCACATGCTTACTCTGGCAATAAAATGCATTATTTTCCTCTCTGCTTCATTCTCCAAGAGTTCACTTTGCACTTACTTCAAAATTCATGCTTCGAAAATTCACTTTACTTTTGTGTAAATATATAAAATAAAATAAAATAGTGCAGTTGTGCTGCTGCTTGTGTATCTTGTTTTTCTTGCCTCTGCTGAGAGTGTGGCAGATGGATTTTTACACAAAGAAACCCTGAGTGCTTCCCACTACCTCAGCAAAGGCAGTGATTTTAAGTAAGGAAATACCTATTACTTTCAGTACAGGTCTGTATGCCCTTCAGTTAGCTCATAACTTGCTAGGCCCTGCCTGGAAGCTTTAATACCAGCTACACTTGTGTACTGAAATGGCAGGAGAGCAATGTCCTGAGTGGTAACTCCTGCAGGGTGTGAGTGTCCTCCTCTGCATAACTGACATGAGTCAAGAAAGGATGCTGGCTCCATCTCCTCAGCACCTGCTGTGCTGCTGCAGCCCCAGCACAGCAGCAGCAGAGCCCTGAGGATGGAACAGCTGCACCAGGCACACCCTTAGGCCTGGCTCTGCTCCTGTGCTCTCAGCTGAGCAGCTCTGAGGGGATGGAGTCTAATCTGCTTTGATACAGAGCAAGCTTCTGCCTCTCAGGTGAAGCCTGATTTGCTGCAGGAACCCAGACTGATGTTTGCTTCACAGGTGCAGTTTGGGGCTGGGTCTGGCCCTTCCAGTGCTGTGCAGAATTGTTTGGGCTCCCAGCCCTCCTGCAGAGAGCACAGGCTGTGTGAGTATCCCAGCTCTGAGCTCCAGCCACCCGCTTATGCTACTGCCTCCACATCAAAGCTGTGTCTCTTGGCACCTGGGCAAATGATAAAAAAACAAAGCAACCAGTTTTCCTTACCTTTAAGCTGAAATACCTGCCAACTAGTAACCTGTTCAAATTATGGTGAGTTTAAGATGGGCCCAGTTGTGAGTTATAAGTGAATTGTTATTCAAGTGATGTTTTGTATTACAACTTTCAGGTTGTGACTGATTCTCCATGATACAGCCAGCAGGCTCTTGCATACACAGCATCTGGTGTACAGCATTTAGGAAATATTAAGTCCAAGATAAAATACAAAATATTAAGGGATTGATTTATTGAAATATGAATAAATAACAAGGATAGTACAAGCCTACATTTATTTCAGGGAGAGGTTAACAATGAAGTACCTTTGGGAATGTCTGTCCAATCTCTAAGAGCTCGACCCCTACAGGTGACAGGAGCTGTGGGAGGCACTCCAGGGTGGTTTGTCCTGGCAGAAGACATGCTGCTTCAGGAGGCTGGCCTTTCATGTGACCTTCAAGCTCGAGTGTCCTTCCTGTATCATTTCTATCCCTTATGAGAAGAAATCAGTCACTTTAGGAATTTTAAGCTCAGGCACAATGGCTTCAGGTCCCAGCAGAACTTCCAGGATAAGCTTTGTTCAAACCTGAGTTTTCAGTACATCTCATGCCAAAACTCATCTCTGGCACATGAAACCATCTGCTTGTTACAGCAGTCTTCAAAGAGGTTACAGCTATTTTATTTTTTTAATTCAGCTTTACAATAGGAAAATCAGAAGAGGGGAAAAGTAACTAAAAAAATTTTTCACATAACTAAAAAACAAGATTAAAATTTCTCTGGTAAAACCAACATTAGATTCTGTGATTTCATTTTTATACAGTATAGCTTATATGAAAAATGTTTTCCAAACTATAAAATATTTTCAGGAAGGACCAAAAAAAAAATTTCCCTAAAAATTATTTGTAGGATGTAGTCCTGGTGGAAAATGAAAGCACATCAATAATGGTGAAATTTTTGAAGATTTAGAGCTTAACCATGGATTATGTTGTGATATAATTCGTCATAGCAAACTGTAAGTTTTCTGTCAAATCTAATTTTAGTGCATTTGCATTTTCCAGAGATTTATACAACTTATATATTAATTTATTTTAAAATTAAGTGTAAAGCATGCTTTTGTCAAGCAAACTTCACAAGGTTGTACCTTTATCTGTATATGGGTTAATAAATATTCTGTGGGGAAAAGAAAAAGATCAGCTCCAAAATCAGCTGAAAAGGTTTTTTCTGAGAGGAAGTAGAAGGATAAGAAAGACATACCAGAAGTGATATGTTTCATGA